TTAGTATTTTTTAGCTTCAGAGAGAGCTTACATATGCAGGACTATGATGACAGTACAGCCATAGTCCAGAGCTAGAAAGTAATATTTAGTTTATCTTTCCTAATTCTTTGATTGTTTGGGTATAAAAATTAACCAGTTTTAAAGCATTTAAAAGCTTTTGTCACTGGTTTTGCACTAATTTACATATAACATGTTACGTATGTACTAATAGTGTTACAGTAGAAAGGGCTGATACAAGGTAGCATTTATAGGATTTGTCACTCGAGAGAAAAATAGAAATGTTTTTGTCTTCTCTTGTGGTAATTTCAGTTGTTCAAAAGTGTCTTACTGGTGTTAGTGGGTTAAGCTCTTTAGTTTAGCAAAGTCGGTAAGCACTTGTCTGGCATAGAAAAGGTCTTGAGTTAAATATTAAACTCATAAGTTAGAAAAATGAGGCTATCGCAGAAAAAAGTGGCACTACATTAGGGCATCCCATGATGCTTGGATTAGGCTTAGAGGTGGATCTTGTTTGTAAGAGGGGGAAAGAATGTAATGGTTTGGGTTATTAAAAGTGCATTTTTTTTGTAATATTCGTGGCTGATGAGGTAATCAGATTGCTGCACTTGTGAGGTTAGGCTTGTTAAGAATACAACAAAAATATTTCTTTTCTGTGTACAATAGTTTTCTACTATTTTTACCTCTGAATGTTTCCAAAAATTGTTTTGAATGATATTTTAGTTCACAGCTAACTTGGGGCTACTGAACAAACAACACACATTGTTCTCTCTTTCATATTTTTTTTTCTTTGTAGATATTTCTGAATATCATTTTAATCTCCAGCTAACTTAGTCCTCCTGAACAAGTTAATATAATTCTTCCATCCAGGAAGTCATCTCTCTTACTAGGTATTTTGTGTACGTTACTTAGATTACAGCTAACTTTAATCCCATGTGAGAACATTCTAGTACATTGAAGTTTTTCCATGGTTGGTCTCTGATGTAGTTTCTTGTCAGATGTTAAAGAAATTACATTAAAAGTGTTAGGTGTGTATCATATTTCTGTGTATCATAACTATAGGATTGAGCATCACATACTTTATACTATTATTATTATGATTGCATATATAAAATGGTCTGATAATTTTTTCATGAATTTCAATAGAAAAACTTTTGCTCATCATATACTTGGAAACATGTATGTAAATATACATGTAATAAACACAAAAAGGAATGCCTGAATTAATGTTAGCATCATGAGAGGTTTTCTTTTTCATAAAAAAAAAACATACTATAAGCATACAAAAAAACACAAACCAAAGAAGAAATTATATTAATAGATAGGAAGATAGACTTTGAAAACCATTGATCATTAAAATTGCAGTAATAAAATCTATCATTAGTGTCACCTGTACTTGTATATGTAAAAATTTGCAGAAGGAAATATTCTCAGTCATGGGTGTTAACCCATTCCAGATGGGTCACAGGTGAAAGACCATTGTCATCGCGTTTGTTGACTCGCATTCAATATTTTATTGAACTGCTATTGCATGAATTTATGTCAGTAAATTTGGTATCAAACTGTAGATTATAATTCAAATTTTAGTATTATCTGTTACTTAATTTCTTAATTTAAAAGTAAACATTAAAAAACACAGTTGAACATCAATATCTGTGTCACATGGTATGTTGAATGAGGCATTGGTTCAGATTAGATGTTTGTGATATAAAAATACTAAGTCTATAGTTTTGTACAAATTTGGAACTCAAATTAACAATATTGACAAGCTAGAATATAAAATAAGAACCTTCTGTCTTTTCTGTTTGCTGAGATATCGCTCGTGCTGAATCAAACACAGTGACCACGCTCACGTCTATTTTTGGAAACGATCCCTTATATACACTTACCACTAATAGATGACACGAATAGCCAATCAAATGCTCAGAATGTCCCCTCATGGCATTCTTGGTTATTTTCATGTGTTAGGATGTTATCTTGTTCTTTCGCACCAAAATTTCAAGAAGGTAGGTTGTGTCTTTAGTCTGCTCGGAAATTTCATATTTTTTTAGACCCAAATACGGCTCAATTACTAAGCTTCATAATTTTTGTGGAATACTAAGGTATTGATATAGTAATTTATAATATTTTGGTTATTCAACTGTATATATAAAACCTAAAAAAAAATTGTTTCGTTTCATATCTTCCAGGTTCCAAATTTTTAAAGGCTTAGTGACCTACGTTAAGCAGCAACTGAGTACAAATGTTGTAACTAGATAAGATAAATGTTTGCTTTACTTATCTATTTACTGTTCTATGTTTTAAGAAAAATAAGTTG